ACAGGATTTTATACTTAGTCATTTCTGTACACTTTGTATTCGTCCCATTAGAGGCCCTGTTGTAAATGCGCCTTCCAAGCCCAAGGCTTGGGAGCCCAGCCCGTATTTTCCCTATAAATACTTCCTCTGGGAGTAGTTGTAGGGGTTGACAAAATCATTTATTGCAAGGAATTATTGCACTTCTCTCTCTAGCCCTTCCTTCTCTCTAGATATATAATCTATCAAATTTATTAATGGCATACCATGATTATATGCGTGATATTGAAAAATGGTGATATAGAGGGATTACAGAGTTTTTTCCCAAAGGAGAGTAGTCTTCAATCTTATTTCCCAATTGAGGGTACTTTTAAACTTATTTCCCAAATGAGGGTAGTTTTTTCCATGTCATCTAATTTCCGCCACATCACCCACTCCATATCATTCACCATCATCCATCATTCCACGTCATCAGCCATATGCCCATATGTGTATTCTTTGAAAATATAAAAAAAATTCGAAGCCCCTAAGAATTGAACTCATGACCAAAAAGATGCAATTGCATTTTGCAACCCATTAGACTACATTGACTTGTTGGTACTGATAGAGTATATAGACTCGGACCCCCGGGTCTCACGACTATTGGGCCCGGACAGCGGCCCACACACATCTTACGGATATCATTTGTATTATTGTACTACTTATATGTCATTTGTATGTAACTATGTACTAGATTAGTCTTTTATGTAGTTGGGCTACCGGGCCCATATTAGCGGCCCGACCCATTATTTCCCTATTTATACTCCTCTTGGAGCCATTTGTAACCCTAGAACATAATTACTCATTCACACTCTACTATTCATCCATCTTCTTCACTATCTTTAGCTCAAATCTCTCCCATTATACATATACTTGGATACCTATAATCCATCAATGGTGCTCTCAGACGAGCGCCCAGCGCCGTCCATCATTTTCAGACGAGCGCCCAGCGCCGTCCCTCATTTTCAGACGAGCGCCCAGCGCCGTCCATCATCTCAGACGAGCGCCCAGCGCCGTCCATCATCTCAGACGAGCGCCCAGCGCTGTCCATCATCTTAGACGAGCGCCCAGCGCCGCCCCTCATCTTAGACGAGCGCCTAGCGCCGTCCTTCATTCTTAGACGAGCGCCCAGCGCCGTCCTTCATTTTTTAGACGAGCGCCCAGCGCCGTCCCTCATTTTAAGACGAGCGCCCAGCACCGTCCATCATCTCAGACGAGCACCCAACGCCGTCCATCATCTTAGACGAGCGCCCAGCGCCACCCCTCATCTTAGACGAGCGCCCAGCGCCGTCCTTCATTCTTAGACGAGCGCCCAGCGCCGTCCTTCATTTTTTAGACGAGCGCCCAACGCCGTCCCTCATTTTCAGACGAGCGCCCAGCGCCGTCCATCATATCAGACGAGCGCCCAGCGCCGTCCATCATCTCAGACGAGCGCCCAGCGCCGTCCATCATTTCTCAGACGAGCGCCCAGCGCCGTCCCTCATTATAGGACCGGCTCCGCATCGCCGTTGTCCTCACATCACGACCCGCTCCTCATCGCCGTTGTCCTCACATCACGACCGGCCCCTCAGCCTCGGCGTGATCATCTATCTCAAGACCGGCTTCCTCAGCGCCACGAGTCTTAACCCAGCGATCGGGCTCGCCATCCCTTCCCGGATGGTGACCATCGCCTCTATATGACGATCGGCTTCACCATCGCCTCGTCATCATTATTTGGACCGACTCCTCATTTCCGTTGTCCTCACATCACGATCGGCCCCTCGGCCTCGGCGTTATCATCTATCTCAAGACCGGCTTCCTGAGCGCCGAGAGTCTTGAGCTGGCGATCGGGCTCGCCATCCCTTCCCGGATGGTGACCATCTCCTCTATATGACGATCGGCTTCACCATCGCCTCGTCATCATTATTTGGACCGACTCCTCATCGTCGTTGTCCTCACATCACGACCGGCCCCTCGGCCTCGGCGTGATCATCTATCTCAAGACCGGCTTCCTCAGCGCCGCGAGTCTTGAGCCAGCGATCGGGCTCGCCATCCCTTCCCGGATGGTGACCATCGCCTCTATATGACGATCGGCTTCACCATCGCCTTGTCATCATTATTTGGACCGACTCCTCATCGTCGTTGTCCTCACATCACGACCGGCCCCTCCGCCTCGGCGTGATCATCTATCTCAAGACCGGCTTCCTCAGCGCCGCGAGTCTTGAGCCAGCGATGGGGCTCACCATCCCTTTCTAGATGGTGACCATCGCCTTTATATGACGATCAGCTTCATCAGCGCCTCGTCATCATATTATAGGACCGGCTCCTCATCGCCGTTGTCCTCACATCATGACCGGCCCCTCGGCCTCGGCGTGATCATCTATCTCAAGACCGGCTTCCTCAGCGCCGCGAGTCTTGAGCCAGCGATCGGGCTCACCATCCCTTCCTGGATGGTGACCATCGCCTTTATATGACGATCAGCTTCATCAGCGCCTCGTCATCATATTATAGGACCGGCTCCACATCTCCGTTGTCCTCACATCATGCCCGGCCCCGCAGCCTCGACGTGATTATCTATCTCAAGACCGGCTTCCTCAGCGCTAAGAGTCTTGAGCTGGCGATCGGGCTCATCATCCCTTCCCGGATGGTGACCATCGCCTCTATATGACGATCGGCTTCACCATCGCCTCGTCATCATTATTTGGACCGACTCCTCATCGTCGTCGTCCTCATATCACGATCGACCCCCTCGGCCTCGACGTGATTATTTATCTCGAGACCGGTCTTAGTCATCCCTTCCCGGATGGCGACCGTTGCATAGATCTTTGGACCGGCCCCTCAGTGCCTTCGTCCTCATATCACGACCGGCCCCCTCGGCCTCGACGTGATTATTTATCTCGAGACCGGTCTTAGTCATCCCTTCCCGGATGGCTACCGTTGCATGGATCTTCGGACCGGCCCCTCAGTGCCTTCGTCCTCATATCACGACCGGCCCCCTCGGCCTCGACGTGATTATTTATCTCGAGACCGGTCTTAGTCATTCCTTTACCGAATGACGACCGTTGCATGGATTTTTGGACCGGCCCCTCATCGCCGTCGTCCTCACATCATTCCCGGCCCCTCGGCCTCGGCGTGATTATCTATCTCAAGACCGGCTTCCTCAGCGCCGAGAGTCTTGAGCTGGCGATCGGGCTCACCATCCCTTCCTGGATGATGACCGTCGCCTTTATATGACGATCAGCTTCATCAGCGCCTCGTCATCATATTATAGGACCAGCTCCTCATCGTCGTTGTCCTCTCATCATGCCCGGCCTCTCAGCCTCGGCGTGATTATCTATCTCAAGACCGGCTTCCTCAGCGCCGAGAGTCTTGAGCTGGCAATCGGGCTCACCATCCCTTCCTGGATGGTGACCGTCGCCTTTATATGACGATTGGCCCATCATGGCCTCGTCATCATTTATTGGAACGGCTCATCATCGCCGCCATGCTCACATCGCGGCAGACCCCTCGGTCTCAACGCGATCTTGAGCTAGCGACTGGGCTCACCATCCCTTCCTGGATGGTGACCATCGCCTCTATATGACGGCCGGCTCATCATTGCCCCGTCATCATATTTCGGATTGGCTCTTTTCATCGCCATCCACGCATCACGACCGGCCCCTCGGCCTCGGCATGACTCTCTATCTCAAGACCGGCTTCCTCAGCGCCGAGAGTCTTGAGCTAGCGATCGGGCTTGCCATCCCTTCCTGGATGGTGACCATCGCCCTTATATGACGATTGGCTTCATTCTTGCCTCGTCGTCATATTATCGGATCGGCTCATCATCTCCGTCCAAACATCACGATCGGCCCCTCGGCCTCGGCGTGATTATCTATCCCTAAGACCGGTCTCAGTCATTCCTTCATCGGATGGCGACCACTGCTTGGACTTTTGGATCAGCCTCATAATGCTGACGACCTCGCATCACGATCGGCCCCTCGGCCACGACGTCACACCCTATCCCAACACCGGCTTCATCAGCGCCGAGTGTGTTGGGCTAGCGATCAGACTCGTCATCCCCTCCTAGATGGTGACTATCGCCTCTATATGACGATCGGCTCCATCATCGCCTTGTCATCATATTTCGGACTGGCTCATTATTGCTGTCCGCACACCACGATCAGCCTCTCGGCCTCGACGTGATTATTTATCTCAAGACCGGCTCCCAGCGCCGAAGTCTTGTTATAGCGATTGGGCTCGCCATCCCTTCCCGGACGGCGACCGTCGCCCCTATATGACGCACGGCTCATCATCGCCTCGTCCTCACATTTAGACCGGCCCCAGCGCCGAAGTCCTTATCTAGCGACCAGGCTCGCCATTCCCTTCCTGGGTGGTGACTGTCGCCTTCATATGACGCATGGCTTATCATCGCCTCGTCCCCATATTCGGACCGGCTCACCAGCGCCATCGTCCCCACATTCGGACCGGTTCGTCAGCGCTGTCGTCCTCATATTCGGACCGACTCATCAGCGTCGTCGTCCTCATATTCAGACAGGCGTCCACCTCCTCGTCCCCCTATTCAGATATAGCGAACATCTTGCGGTCTCCGGCCGAAAGGCTAAAGGAGCCCAGAGTTCAGCCATATATCGCTCCATCATCTTTATTTGATGACGCGAAGCTCATTTGCAGGCTCATCGGCCATATATCACTCTTTCATCTTTATTTGATGATGAAGAGCTCATTTGTAGGCCCATCGGCCATATATCGCTCTGTCATCTTTATTTAATGACGAAGAGCTCATCTACAGGACCATCGGCCATATATCGTTCTGTCATCTTTATTTGATGACGAGGAACTCATTTGTGGGCCTCTGAGCCACATCTTGCTCCGTCATCTTTATTTGATGACGTGAAGCTCAGTTGCAGGCCCATCGGGCATATATCGCCTCGTCATCTTTATTTGATGACGCGAAGCTCATTTACAGGCCCATCGGCCATACATCGCCTCGTCTTCTTTATTTGACGATGTGGAGCTCTTATGCAGGCCCCTCGGCTGCACCATCGCCCCGTCGTCTTTATTTGACGACGTGGAGCTCTTATGCAGGCCCCTCGGCCGCACCATCGCCCCGTCGTCTTTATTTGACGACGTGGAGCTCTTATGCAGGCCCCTCGGCCGCACCATCGCCCCGTCGTCTTTATTTGATGACGTGGAGGTCTTATGCAGGCCCCTCGGCCGCACCATCGCCCCGTCGTCTTTATTTGACGACGTGGAGCTCTTATGCAGGCCCCTCGGCCGCACCATCGCCCCGTCGTCTTTATTTGACGACGTGGAGCTCTTATGCAGGCCCCTCGGCCGCACCATCGCCCCGTCGTCTTTATTTGACGATGTGGAGCTCTTATGCAGGCCCCTCGGCCGCACCATCGCCCCGCCGTCTTTATTTGACGACGTGGAGCTCTTATGCAGGCCTCTGAGCCATACCATTGCCCCGTCGTCTTTATGTGACGACGTGGAGCTCTTATGCAGGCCCCTCCGCTGCACCATCGCCCCGTCGTCTTTATTTGACGACGTGGAGCTCTTATGCAGGCCCCTCGGCCGCACCATCGCCCCGTCATCTTTATTTGACGACGTGGAGCTCTTATGCAGGCCCCTCGGCCGCACCATCGCCTCGTCGTCTTTATTTGACAACGTGGAGCTCTCGTACAGGCCTCTCGGCCCATCGGCCTTACGTTCTGGTCATCTTTATTTGATGAACCAGACATCATATTGTGGACGGTCGCTCGACCCATCCCTTAGTCATCTTTATTTGATGACTAGGACTACTGATCATGATGAGCTACCCACATCTAGAGATCGGCCTCGACCATCCAGCAGACGGGCACCGCTACAGCTCCATCTCCAGGCCGAAGGGCTCACACATTTTGTTTCATTTTGGGGGCATCCGGTGTACTCTTTTTCCCTCATTAGGATTTTTTCCCACAGGGTTTTTCCTAATGAGGTTTTTAACGAGACATCTCCCCATCGTGGATCAAAAGGTGTCAACCCTCGGCCCCCTGTTGAAGACATCATCCGACACGCATTACTCTACTCCTCTTCACCTCATTACACTCGCCTCAAGGAGTGGGGGACTGGAAGAGCGGGGGACTTAGCGCCTCCGTTAACCAAAGAAGCAGAAATTCAAATTTTTGTTCATGAAGTTTACTCACCAGACGGCGACAGATCAGCACACAGTTCTACTCTCTTTCGCCACGAATACTCTCGACTCAGAGAGTGGGGGACTCCTGATAGAGTATATAGACTCGGACCCCCGGGTCTCACGACTATTGGGCCCGGACAGCGGCCCACACACATCTTTCGGATATCATTTGTATTATTGTACTGCTTATATGTCATTTGTATGTAACTATGTACTAGATTAGTCTTTTATGTAGTTGGGCTACCGGGCCCATATTAGCGGCCCGGCCCATTATTTCCCTATTTATACTCCTCTTGGAGCCATTTGTAACCCTAGAACATAATTACTCATTCACACTCTACTATTCATCCATCTTCTTCACTATCTTTAGCTCAAATCTCTCCCATTATACATATACTTGGATACCTATAATACATCAGGTACTATCACACCTTTACAAACATTTAACATATATATTTTTAATACAACGTATTTTTATATATGCAATTCAAAAAAAATTAAAATTGCTCTACATTAATTAAATAAAATAAGAAAGAAATAAATGAGAACGGCTGGACTAATTCATCCCAAATTTAATAAAAAATCTTATATTACTGATGCAAAAGAATGCAAAAATATATATTTCAAGTACAAAAATTTAAAAAATCCAACACTAAAATACAAGTTTTTTTACAATCATAATTTAAGTATTTTACAAGTCTGAGGTGGATTTGAACCTATATTAAGTTATTTATTTTTGTACGTGAAATTTATATTTTCACATGTTTTGCATTAGCGATATAAGTTTTTTTATTAAATTTGGGATGAATTAGTCCATCTGTTTTCGTTTATTTGTTTCTTATTTTATTTAATTAATGTAGAGTAATTTTAAATTTTTTGAATTGCATATATCAAAATACGTTGTATTATCTCGATCTTTCACTTTGTTCACTTTTGATACTTGATTATCTCGATCTTTTTAACCTTGACTATCTCCGGTGATTTTAACAACCAAAAATATCAATTGAAGGATTATACATAGGCAAAAAACAATAGTTATGTACTAAAAGTGATCAAAGTGAAGGATATGAACAACTTGTGAAATTGGTGTGATACTCATAGGATGAAAAGTGGATTTATTCATATGTAAATGTAAATGTAAATTAAAATATGCCGTTAAAATGAGGCCGCAATTTTCCCTCCAGTCCATAATTGCAGCAACTTTACTCTTTATAATATATAACATAATACTCCCTCCGTCCCGCTAACAATGGGACAAGAGGAAGTGACACGCAAATCAATAAAAAGTGATTTATGTGGATGATATTGAATTGATAAATTAAGAATAAAGTAAGAATGATTTAGAGCCACACAAACTTTGCCAAATTTGGTATGGGACAATCTTAGTGGGACGGACCGATAAGGTAAAACGGGATAATCATAGCGGGACGGAGGTAGTATTATATTTACAAGTTAATCACATCTTTTTAAAATATTCATAACAAGATTTACAATGAAATGTATCACACTTATTCACTATTTACATTAATATCTCTTACATGTTTTCTACATCTTTTGTAAAGTTTCTACATAAAATAGATCATAAGTAGCATAACAGCATACATATAAAGGAGTCACACTAAACAATTTTGTACACATAATTATACACATAAATGTACTCATATTTACACTCCGTGACAACACATTTAAAATAAAAAATCATAAGATTTCTTCATGGACATAAAAAAATCATTTTACAAAACCTTTTAGGTTTTCGGTGTGGGATGAACATTCAAGGCTAGCTGCCACCGCATAGAACAGAGGCCCTTGAGGTGTTGGGGTAGCCAGTGGTCCTGCAATCTGCTACCGTCATCAGCAACCAACAACAGAAATGGATTGATCACGATTCCCTGGTTCGAAGTTAGATAGCAGAAGGAATTGGTTCAAATCGGGATTCACTGTTTCTGCATCTTCAAGTCAACCACATATAGAATGTAGAGCTACATAAATGAGTTAGACTGAAGCCAATCAATTGATCCTCTTTCCTGGTGCAGTTCAAAGCTGTTCCACCTGTAGCTCCCATGTTCTTATCTTTCCCCTAGGGATTCACTAATGAGAAGCGAACGAATATTGTCTTCTTCCTCGGAAATCTTATACTCCAAATTATATAAGAGCCATATCTTTTCAGTAATATGAAGTGGTAGCCTTGAATGTTAAGAGGAATAACATTGTGATCTACATATTTCCCACACAAACCTATAATGTTTTGAATGATGTGTTGTATAGGTTAGCGGATGCTTATAACATAGAGCTGAGCTCAACATTTGTGGTTGTGAAGCATTTATTTTATAGTCTTCACTTAAATCTCTATTAAATATAACCTATGTAGCACGGAAACTCTTGGGAAAGAGTACGTTTCCCGTTTCGGAAACTCTCGAAAACTCTTTGGAAACTCTCCAAATAAGCATTTTTTGAGCAAAAGTTGACGTTTCCCGTTTCCCGTTTCCTTATGATTTTCACGTTTCCGTGCAACATAGGTTACATGATGGAATTTTTTTAGAAGTAGGGAGAACTATCAAACAAGCCCTCGAACTTTAAAAAAGTGCAAATAAGCCCTTTTACAGGAGACTTTGTCCGGCTGTCTCCATTTAGGGCGGTTTCTGGTGGAATTTTTTGAACATCTTCTTCATTAAGTCTAGTTTACTCATACCAAATTTCAGCTAAAAATTCAACCGAGAAGGCAGTCAAATGATTTTCTGAAATATATTGCGCTGTCTAACTGCGCAGTTATCTTCAAAAACTCATTTAACTGCGTTCCTGATTGAATTTTTAGCTGAAATTTGGTATGAATAAACTAGACTTAATGAAGAAGATACTAAAAAAATCATCAAAAAATGCCACTGTAAACCGCCCCAAATGGCGACGGCCGGACAGAGCCTCCTATAAAAGAGCTTATTTGCACTTTTTATGAAAGTTCGATGGCTTATTTGATAGTTCTCCGACTTCTCCCTCAGAAGTATTATCTTCTGGCTACATCAAGCTATCCAGCCACTCAATCGTTTTTGACCTGTTATAGCATGTTTTTATTAAAATCTAAAGAACTTGTTAACATTTGAAAAACAGAAACAATAACATTAACAAAATCAAGAATGTCAAATTCTATATTTTTCATTTTCTATATTTTTTATATTATTTTGTAATGTGTTTTTACATTTTTATTTTATATTTTTAACATTTTTCAGTTTAAAACTCGTACTCAGACTTCAGTTGCTATGTATTACAGAATAGGTACAAATTAACTTGAAATTTATAATCATTTCCTAGTTCACTTCAAAACGTTTTGTAGTTCGTTATAAAAATCTTATTGAGTTCTAAAAGCTCGTTTTCGACATTCGTTTACAAAAATTTAAAGGATATGTACATACAACTTAAAAATTTAGAGCTTACTCCAAACTCCAAATTACTCATCATTTTCTTATTTTTTATATTATTATTTCTATGTTTTTTCAAATTTATACTACCGTATGATTTTTTATAAAATGTATCAGTTGTTTTAGTTTAGCTTTCAAATTTAATATGCTATAGAATGTCAAAATAGTTGTACTGGTTGTGTTTTAAAATTAGGCATACTTTTATGATAAGTTTTTCAGTATACAGATTAAAGTGATGAATTTGAAATAGTAGAAGGTCTATTTAAACCTTTCTCAACTTGAAATGATAACCATAATATATTTTCTACTAAAAATAGCTAAGCTGCATAATACATTTTAGGAAGTTTATAGATTAAAAATATAAATATAAAGAAAGTACAAAAAATTGAAAGAATATTTTTATAAAGGATGAACAATTTTATTAAAAAAGTAAAACCATAAAAAATAAAATTATAAAAAATAGATAGTAATTATTAAAAAGTATTACAATTGTAAAAATAATTCGAAAAAATTTATAAAATTGAAAAATGAATACAAAAGCACAAATGTATACATAATTTTAGAGTCTCAACACGATCTTTAGAACTCAAAATGATCTTTCCAATGAGATATAAAAACGCTTGAAACGAAACTAAACGCAGCGAGATATGATCTTCCAAATAGATCGCAAATTTTCGAAAGTAACAACAAATACTTTTTGGCACGGATGTTGTCAAGGACGATGTTAGCACCGATATGTTCCCTGCCATACTAAATTTCATCTCAATTTATGAATTTTTCCGGTTGTGGAATGGATTATGTCTCGGATAGTTGTCTCGGTTCTTTAACCGACGCAATTGGACACGGATTTTGGATCAGATCCGTTTCCTAACCAAAGTTTTTTGGTTTTTCATCTTTGGGGCGGTCTTTGGCACGGAAGTTCCGTGCCAAACCCGAAATTTCGTTTGACGTCAACTTTTCCGCGCCAAAACTTGAGGTTTAGCTGTTGCGAGCCAACAACCGAGCCAAATTTGGTACGGAACGTTTCCGTGCCAACTAACCGTTCCTATAATGAGTTTTTTGATAGTGAGATCTTGAAAGAGTTCGAGTTAAAAACCTTGAAGCTAAGTCTGAAAATTAACCTCCCTTGAAATTTTGTCACCGAAGTCATCCGTGACAAATATATTATCCGCAAAAAATTGATTTTTTTGAAATTTTAATAAATGAGCAATTTTTTATAAAAAAATCTTGGAATTAAAATTGCAGGTTTTTTTTCAATAAATAAAGCTGGAATTAAAAATAGAATGACGCAATACGAATTGAA